TGAGATATCTTCTTCAGGTACTTCAGACACAAACCACGACAGTTTATTGTAGAATACTACCTACACTGGACCACCACGTTTGAGATATCTTCTTCAGGTACTTCAGACACAAACCACGGCAGTTTATTGTAGAATACTACCTACACTGGACCACCACGTTTGAGATATCTTTTTCAGGTAGTTCAGACATAAACCACGACAGCTTATTGTAGAATACTACCAACACTGGACCACCACGTTTGAGATATCTTTTTCAGGTAGTTCTGACACAAACCATGGCAGCTTATTGTAGAATACTACCTACACTGGACCCATGTTTGAGATATCTTCTTCAGGTAGTTCAGACACAAGCCACTAGTAAAGAGTTTTATCCACTAATCTTCTCAAAATGTCAATATTGTACTGCGCTTTTGCTTAAATATGACGGGCTGTATATAGTTTATATCGGATGATCGGCAGAGATTGGCAGCCTGAAATTGAAAGGTGCACGGCAAATTTTCATATGTATAAAACCTTGAAAAGAAGCTACACATGGTTGCCTATAGGTGTATGGCTTTTCAGGGAACATAACTGAATAGCACAATTCGTACAAAATTTATATTTATTTCTTTTAAACGATTTTTTTGCAGAACAGTTATGAAACTTCATGCTTACATCGGTTTCAGTGCTGACTTGCTGGCATATGTCTATAAGAGATGGAACAACAGATCATGCACAAACAGTCTTTATGCATAATTGGTACAACATACTTTAAGGTACCACAATCTCACATTCTCTGTATGATCTAACCATGCTTAATTCGGCAGTGAGTTCTGTACAACATCAGATCACTTTAAGGTAACCCACATTCAAGAACATGTACTACCTCTGCACTAGATTATCTTGACATATTTACCCAATTAGATCATGCAGAGCTACATGTTCTTGAATGTGGGCTACCTTAAAATGATTTGATGTTGTACAGAACTCATTGCTGAGTTAAGCATAGATCATATACAGAGGTCAGTAGTACATGCATGTTCTTGAATTTGGGCTAACGTAAAGTGAATCATTTATTTAAACCAGAGTAGCGAGCGAAACATGATAAAACAGTTTGTTTGCATTTTTCACTTACAAGTGTTTGGTAGTTTACACAGAGCGGCATATATTGAGTTTGTGTTTATTAAACAAAGACGCGTTTCGCAATCTGTTGATATATATAAGCATAATTGCCTTCATATCCGTTTTAATATTTCTGTCTCTGAAACAAGTGCAAGCCTTTTTTCCCCAACTACAATAGGAAGGAAGGAATAATTACGGCTCATTGCGCTCATACGAAATTCATATCCTTAGCAATCGAGCCAAATTGTCCACATTAAAAAATATAAAGCTCATTAGTAATTCATATAGCAATACGTTATATTATAGGCGGCATAGCATTTTCGTAATTGTTTTGTTTTCATAAATATATTACTTCTGTCGCTATGCTTTTCGGAAGATATAAAAGTTTAAATAGAATTTCGTTGTTTGTTTGGTCAAAACAGTTTATTTTAAGCCCGCTGTTAAGCTTCTCTTCGCTTTCAAATCAAATTCTGAATTCTGGCATTCATGGACAACTTGCATGTTAGACTAAATTTTAATCTAAGTAAAGAGAAGGGAATCAAACACAACAGTTAAAAAGAAAATAATGAAATTAGTAAAATTGCACAATGTGGTTGCGAAATGTAAATATAGCCTTCAGTATATTTGTATTTACGTGCGGAAATTGTTACATTTTCGGCTCAAAATGGTAACAATTTCCGCACGTAATACAAACATACTGAAAATATGCAAACTTCGCAAGGTTATATTTTCTGTATTTTACAACATTTCGTAATCAAATTTTGCAATTTTACTGATTTTAATAAGTTCTTTACGGGAATTTACTTTTTTTTGCCTAAATAAAAAATTAGTCTAACATGCAGTTGTCTATTGGCTCAATTTAAACTCCGTACAGGCAGGACGTTTTCCTTGACAGATTTTCTTTTGATGTACGCTACAAATTTCCATGTTTTCCCTTGTGAAGGAGTCTCGTTCAAAAGCTCGTCGTATCAGCATTTTCCACACAAGGAAAACTGTTCGTGTTTACGGGCGGCGAGGGAAAACTTGACACTATTCATTAAATCTCGTTTATTTTGAAATTTGCTTTTGTAATGTGGCGTATCGTAGACAGTTTCAATTAGAAAGCTGTTTTTAATTTCTTGAAAGCAGCTTTGAACGAAAAGTTATCACATGCAATTGTTTACGTACTTAAATAGCGCGGGCTCGTAAAACTTGTCAAGGAAAAAATTGATCAATGAAAACTTGTTCGTCGAACACACGAGCAAGTAAATTCGTTACTCGTCAAAGAAAAGCTTTATTCCAAAGCTTCCGAACAAACTAACAGACTATAAAACTCACACAACGAGTATAAAGCGATTCCTAACATTGTAGATAGTTCGTCACACGAGATAGATCTTGTAGCAATCTTGTACCCCAAGCCTGTACAGAGGATGGCAGGCTCAAGCTACGAGATTGATCTTGGGGTGACCTAAGGTAAGCGATCCATAAGATGATCTTTATGGATCCCAATCAAAATTTTGTTCAAAAGTCACACCAGATTGTAAACATTGTAATCACATGCCATCTATTTTGCTAATACAACAACTACAAAATTCATGAAGAATGTTGTTACCTATAATCTATATCTATGTATAGTATTACCTACTATTACGTGCAAAGTAATCCTTCTGGACTTACTTGAAAAGTTCAAATAGTTCAATTAATTATGGTCTCATGGAAGGTCTATGTTCTTGTGTTCTTTTTGAAATTTTTCCATTGTTCTTTTCATCCCTAGGAATTCTTGGGAGACTCTATATTTAACGGTGATATATATTTACTTAATATATGTTCTTCACATTCGTTTGCAGTGTCCTTCTGGAAATCCAACTCTGCTATTATTTCTTCACTAGGGGAATCACCTGGGAGCTGCTTTTTCGTTTGGTAGCATACGAACTGGCCATCTTTGACCATTTCTGGAAACCTATCATAATCCAGATTTTCAGGTTTTTCTTCAGAGTCTTCTTCAGAGTCTTCTCCAGAGTCTTCTCCAGAGTCTTCTTCAGAATCTTCAGATTCTTTTTCGGATTCCTCAGATTTTTCCTGAGGGTTTTTCTCAGGTTTTCCCTCGGACTTTTTAGTAACTACATCACTATCTACGACAACGATTTTGACTCCTTCCATGGCAATCAAGGGGGCACATTCATTACACGGAGGCCTTGTAACAAACAGAATGGAGCCTTCGATATTTTTGTTATTTCGCATCAAAAGGGCATTCTGCTCGGCATGAATTACATACGGGTATTTCTTATCAGATTTATCTTTGTCCGAACCTCTTCCAAACTCGCCATAATGTGCTTTGAGAGGAAAGCCATTCCAACCAAGCGCGAGAATTTGCATTTCTGGATTGACAATGACTGCACCAACACCAGTAGTCGGGTCGTCTGTACGCGTAGCGAGAAAACGTGCTATCTCTATTAAGTACTTGGCTTGCTTGACTTGCTGGACTTGCTTCACAGTCTCCTCATTGACTGGATTGAAGACATTGGAATGCTCTTTGGAAATTTCACAAAGTTCAAAATCGAAATTCAACCCTCTAGCTCTTTCAGGCTTTGACTGTGACTGTGGAATAACTAAAACTCTTGCAATCCACTTCATGACTTTCCTAAAATCGCGTCGAACTTTCTTGCCTATATTTTTGTCGAATACTGGCCAGGGTAGGTCTTCCTTAATATGCTCCATCCATTTGGATTTCTTGTCAAAAGCGCTGTACTTTTCAATAAATTTTTCTTTTTTGTCGTTTACGATCTCTATATCTTTTTTGGGGGTATCCCTCTTCGCACGCTTAAGAACATCCTTCTCCACTTGCAAGACAAATTGTGTCTGGGCAATGGGGCTTGCGGTAAATAGCATGTCGACTTGTTTCATTTTGCTCCGGTTGGGTTTATTTAAGTTATAATTGATTTTCTTAATTTCTTCGGGAGTCTTGCCGTCGGTATCTGGTTCAAGCAGTTTAGGCGCATGATAGTATTCCGGTTCAAACGGCAGAAACAGGACTCGCTCCACTTTCGATTGAACCAAAAGCTTCGCACAGAACGGGCACGGCTTTCGAGACATGAACATCTTACAACCCTTGGCTTTATCGTAGTGCTTCATCAACAACCTGGCTACAGCGTGGACGCCGTCTCGAGAACAATCTGCGGCCAACACTACGTCGTTTGGTAACACAAGCACTGCCCCGACCTTTTTGTGATCCTTTGGAGCTTCATCGACAAAATCTTCCATCCACAGAGCTATGATCATATAAAGATTTTCTTTGCTCACGCGCGGATAACTCTTCGCGTAGGGTTTCTTTTTCTTATCGTTCTTTGCCGGAGTTTGATCTGTCGAAGTTTGATGTGTAGGATTCACGTTTTCCACATAAGAATCAGTTGGAGCGTTCTCTATGCCATTTTGATCAGCTACAGACAGTGCTTCCGTGTTGGCTGCCATATTGATTTAAAGGGATTTTATTAAGTGTAAAGGACGTGGCAAGCTAGGCATAGCAGGGGTCATGCTATTATGTATAAATAACTTTTAGAAATACAATTGCCTGCATGGCTAACTTATAGAAATCTTCTTATAAGTTCCCGGAATTGAAATTCTTGGAAGTAATTTGTTATGATTGGATGGATATTTCATAGATATTTATAATTGAAGATTGAAGTGATTTGCTACCAAGGATTATTCCTAATGAAGACTAAAACTATATGAATAAACTTTGTTTACAAGTTTTATGTAAATTTGCCTGCCAGTATGGGCGGTGCGATGTAATTTTGAATAGTCTTGCAACATAACAGCACAACTCAAGCGTACTATAGCATTAAAAAAAAAGCATGTGTGGGCACATTGGCAGGCAAACGCATTTCGCCGGGCGCAAAATCAAAACAATGTTTACCCGTCTATTACAGGCAATTTCAGCTGACTTTTCATCGTAAGATTCCGAACTTCGCAAATTCGTTGCCAAGTTCAAAAGTTCATAATGAAATTCACAAATAGGTTTGTAAACTGGGCATTTGATTGGCTGGTTTGATTTAATAGCCAATCAGAGGCTTTGTTTACAAACCTGTTTGTGAATTTCATTATGAACTTTTGAACTTGGCAACGAATTTGCGAAGTTCGGAACGAAGTTCGGAATCTTACGATGAAAAGTCAGCTGAAATTGACGGCTGTAAAATGTTTATTTGCGGAGTTTCCGTTCTTTTGTATTTCTATATTAGCACCTAAAACTTACCCTAAATCTCTAATCTTATATTAAACCTAATTCTTATCTCAAAACTACAATTCTTTGATCTATTGCAAGGCCGATTCACACCACACAACTCTTGTCTAAAACTGTCGCATGCAACCCTGCTTAGACCTGCTTACAACTTGAGTTGTTCTGTATAAATCAAGTACACAACTCATCTTACAACAACGTAGATGAGTTGTGTGTTTGATTTACACAGTACAACTCAAGTTGTAAGCAGGTTGCATGGACTGTTTTGAGCAAAAGTTATGTAGTGTAA